CGGTACCTACCACTTGGAAACTCCAGACGGCAGGCAACTAGCCAGAACCTAGAATGTAGATAACTTGAAAAAGTACTACTTCTAAGGACTTTATTTTTATTATCTTTTGTATTAAGTCCCATCTGTGCAATGCACAACCGGGCAACTACCAAGTCCCGCCTGTGTAATGCACTACCGGGCAACCGTTTGCTCTAACTTAGTAGAAGGCTAAGTATCAAACTTAGCTATTGACAAGGCAAATGGCCGAACATATTATAAACTGTCTGCTCTAACATGAGCAGGCATCCGGCAACGCCCATTTGGGTGAATTCGTCGAAGAGAACATCTCCCTTCCGGGTGGTACATTATTCTATAGGTCATAACTCAAACGGCTTTAACCGACCATCTAGGTTAAAGATAACTCATGGTGGTTCGAATGATCCATCAAAATTAAGATACAACCATCATTGCCTCAAGGCAATACAGACGATAAATTAAATCTTGGTCTGTAGCCGGCTTTTTCCAAAAAACACTACAATCGGATACAAATTCCATAAACAACGTCAAATCCTTCTAATTTAATCCGCAATTGGTTAAAATGCATACGTTCGGCAACAGGCTCCCTGCATACCAATTAATGGCACTGCCAAATACCCAAATGGTAATCTACAAACGGTTAAATGAGTAATCTAGGTTGGGTTTAGCCGGCACCGCCAGCAGATCCAACTTGGAATAATTCTATTTTAAAAATGGTCAAGAACCGCCTATTTATTAGTCCGGATGCTTGTATACATGGCTGCCTACTTAGCCAATGCATCCGGCATACCGCATGTGTCAATTCAAATTACAAAAAAAAAGGCAGTTTTTTTCACGAGGCAAAAATTGCAAAATATTGAAGCAATAATATCAAGGCAAAATCGACACAGTCGGCATATATATATATAGTTAAAAATGTCAGTCGGACCCATGTCTAGTGAAAGATATAGAAAATACACGGCACGCAAGCCGGATGTAGACAAGATGCTTATAATAGATTGAGCTACTGCTACTGTTGCTGCTATTGTGACGGTTGACCCTGGTCGGTAGAAGGGGCTTCTTGAGTCTGCTATTCTTCAAAGGGAGCCGACTTCTCGGTCCCGAGAACTTGAGCGTCAAATACTTCAGTACCGTATTTGTAACTCAAGTCGAAGAAGGCATAGTCGGTGTCCGGATGGATCATGGACCAGGCCATCTTCATGCGCTCATCGCTGTCGCGCTCGTTCTCGGTGACCAGCCGATCCTGTTTAGTCGCCAACTTGTCCTTGTGCTCCGCTTGGGTCTGGGCCAACTCATTTTTCAGCCGGTTGACCTCCGCCTTCAAGCTCGGTGTTCTCCTTGTCAGCCTCCCCCAAGGCTTTGACGTCAGCCTAAAGTTTGTTGAGTTGGAGTTCAAAGTCGACTGCTTTTTTGTTGGATGTATCATCAGCAGCCGTGAGCTCCTTGAATAGCTCCTCCTGTTTCATCTCCCGGCTTTTAGTTTCATCTCCCGGCTTTCAGCAGCCCTTACCTCCTCTTGCTTTTTCCGCAAGGGGACCTTCATCCCATCAACCCTCAACATCACCTACAAAGTCAACCGGAAAGAAGTTGGCTTCTCAGTTATGCTACAACCGCCAATGAACAAAATTGCACAAAAGCACCACAACCGGTGAATTACCTCAGCCAGCAGTGAGTTGATGCGTTCAATGTTGACCTGGGTGACACCCGGTACCACCTCCATTTCAGATCGGTTAAGGGTCCTCAGCATTCTCTTGGCATAGTTATGCAGATCCGACCAACGAGAAGAGGCATCTGCATCCAGTGGCGGAACTAGGGTGGTTTCAAGTGGGTTCATTGAACCCACTGATTTTTTGAAAAAAATTAAAAACTTTTTTATTTAAAAAAAAATAGAAATAGGTTTAAATAGAATATTTGTGTAATATATGGCCACAAGTAAATCTTTAGCCCAGTGGTTATTTTTACCTCCCATCACACAACAGTTTGTGGGTTCTGGTGAGAGCGGAACTGGTTAGGTCGTTGGACTAACTGTCCCTCTACCAAACAATATTTTTATACCTAAACCTACACTAGACAAGTCTAATGGTAAGGGTCGATCCGCAGAGACGGCTAAATTATCATCACACTACCACCAACTAAGCTAGGTCAAGAAGATATGGGGAGTAGATAAAAATAAAGAGGAAAACTAACTAACTAAGGAATGAGAAACTAAGAGGTAAAATCAGTAGGGAAGGGGAATCAAGGCAATCAATGTGACAAGCACAAGCATAGCAATGAACATGGACATTATCAATAACTTGCAAGGGGCAAATCTTAATCATCTAGGTCTCTCTCGAGCACGCTACACAATCAAGCATCGTGATCAACTCAAGGGGTTCTCTTCTACCTAAATAACTCTTTTCCAAGCAACTAAATAGAGTAGCAATTAAATCATGCATTCAATTAGCCAAAGTGAAAGCAAGCATTAACACACCTCAATGAGGACTTCCAAATCATGACGAAATAACCATACACACCGATATACTAGCACTAATCAAACGCAAACAAACACTATTGATTATCTAATCGGTCAAGTAGATGAAATTGGAGAATTGCCTAACAACCTAGGTCACTCTCGCACACACTAGGCCATTAGACTCTCAACCCCGCCTATGAGGTCGTGGTCAACCAAGCAACGAAATTCTTCTATTAAACTAGCTCACTCTCGCACAACTAGCATAATAGCGATTAAATCATGATATCGATCGGCTAAAAAGACACCAAGCATTAGGCCCTTCATTCTTAGTTCAATACACCAACTATCCCCATCAAACCATCAATAAAGTGTTCATTTTGCACATTAATCAACAATCATCCCTAACCCTAGCAAGGAAACTAAACTAACATGACTAAATCAAAATGACAATGAAACTAACACAAACTAAACTAAAATGAACAACTAACATTAACCAATAAAGAAAAACAATGAAGAAACTAAGAACAAGAACAATGAAGAACAAGGGAAAAGCAACAAAGAGGAACTATTGAAATAATCTACTACTCTAAACATTCAATAAACCAAAGAAAGCAATAAGTAAAGAAAGCAATAAAATTCAGATAGAGTTTAGAATGCTCATTGAAGTATTGAAAAGGAATCCAAAACAATGTCACAATTTGCATCTTCAACCTCCTCAATCCACCATTGAAGCTCTTCACTTTCTCTCTCTAAACTACTCTTAAACTAAATTACAAAACAAAGATTAAAACTAAATCTAAGCCCTAATCTAAGTGGTGAAATGATGGAGAAAGCACAGGGGTTTCATCCCCTCAAGGAGGAGAGAAGACCCCAAACACTCCCCCCCTTAGGAAGTCTAAGAAGTACTCTATTTATATTACAAGAAGAGAAAGAAAGAAATCTAAATGTTAAGCTCGTAAAAGACCCAGAACCCCGCGCCCGCGGCGGGCATGTCCGCGCCCGCGGTACCCATAGTCGCGCCCGCGGCAAGGCATCTCCAGAATATTACAAAGTTGGGGAAAGCAGAGGGTCGCGCCCGCGGCAGAAATAGCCGCACCCGCGGCACAGATAGCCGCGCCCGCGGCACCATGGGTCGCGCCCGCGGAGCCTGGCAGCGTTTTGCAGATTCAAACGGCCATAACATCTGTTCTAGGAAGCCTCTTGGGGTGTGCAACCTACCGTTGGCAAGGCATCTCCAGATAATTGCAAAGTTGGGGAAAGCAAAGGGCCGCACCCGCGGCACAGATAGCCGCACCAGCGGCACCATGGGCCGCGCCCGCGGAGCCTGGCAGCGTTATGCAGATTCAAACGGCCATAACTTCTTTTCTAGGAAGCCTCTTAGGGTGGGCGACATACCATTAGAAAGAACTTCAAGTCTTGTTTCCAACGCAATTTGAAACGCCTCAATCCGATGTGTAGATCAAAAGGTATGGCTGAAAGAGTGAACAAGACTCGGTTTAAGGCCTTCTACGAGCTTCAAGCTTTCTTGTCTCAAGCTTCTTAGCTTCTTTCTTAGCTTCAACCTTCTTCTATTGCACTTTATTGCCTTTTCTCATGTCATAAGCATCAAAGAAAGCGTCAAGCACCTACACAAATAGACCAAGAGAGAAAAGAGTGAAAGAACACATAAAAAAACATGCAAATCAAGCTAGAAGCTGAGCAAAAAAGCATATTATTCACAACTAAGGCCTAAAACCATAAACTAGGAAAAATATAACTAAAACAAGACTAAAAGGAATATAAATAACAAAGAAACACCGAAATAAACCTAAACTAAGGGAGAAAAACGCCCTAATATGTGTCATAAATGACACTTATCAGGTTCAAAACCCGTAACTCACACTTTTTTTTTTTCTTTCCTCATTTTCCTGAGCTTACCTTCCCAAGTTCCCAGCTTTCCTCTTCCTCATTCCCCCAAATTGCAAAACCCTAACTTCTTCCTCCTTCTCTTCCCGTTCTTCCTCCTTCTCTTCCCGAGTTCCCGGAGAAGCAGAAAACGGCAGCACGGCCTGGTGACGCCACTGCAAAGCAGCCAGCAGGGCAGCATACCCACCACCCACCGTGTATGTAGGTAAGTGAATTTGGGGATTTTTTTTGCAAATGTAATTTACTTCTCAATTTGGGGATTTTTTTTGCTAAATCGTTGAATACTTGAAATTCATATGCTAAATTGCTAATATACATTACGAATTGGGGATTTTTGTAAATTTCTGAAGTTTGGTTTTAATTTTCTAATTTACTTCTCAAGTTCTCAATTTGGTGATTTTTTTTGGTCACATTGTTGAATTTCATATGCTATTTCCGTATTTCGTTTTCTGCCTTCTGGTTTTCATAATTTCATATGCTTTTTCGTTTTCTTCCTTCTAGATTTCATTTACTAATTGACTGTAAGCTTTAATTACAATAGTTTTAATTAGCCTTCTAGATTTATCATTCATTCATTGATTTCATTCTGCATTTATCATGTGTGTGTAGCAGACCAGCAGTATATACCATGAGTTTAGAGTCATTTTGGAAACGTGCTGGGAAGTCACAAAATTCTTCAACTTGTTCTTCACCTAGTTCAAGGGATCCTCCAATAGAAGAACATGTGTCACCTAATGATGATGAGGTTCCTATTGCTGCAACAATTCCACCTCCTAAGAACACAGGTCCAAGTGTTCCAAATTCTGCTGCTGACTCGGATGATACTCGCATTTATGATGTTGATCTTCTTCCACATGACCTTGGAAAAAGAATTCCAATTATGGAGTATCCTCCTAATGATCGAGATGCCGTAAGGAGAGGCTATATAACAAAGAAACGTTGTGATCCACGCACACATAATTTTCCTCAAAGAAAAGTTAGAGGTATGCGCCGTTTTATTGTTACTTGGTTTGATAAATATGAGTGGCTTGAATATAGTGTTGAGAAAGATGCGGCTTTTTGTTTTGTGTGCTATTTGTTCAATGATAAAGTTGATTATTCTTTGGTTGTTTAATGATTCCTTTATTAAAGGGGGATTTAGAGGATGAAATAAGACTGGTAGATTTGATGTTCATGTGGGTGGTCTTGGTAGTTTCCATAATCAGGCTAATGAGAACTATAGTATGTTTATCAACCCAAAGACATCAGTTGCTGAATCTCTTTGGACTTATTCTAAGGAAGCTAAAATACAATACAAATCTCCCTTGACTTATTCATTGAAATGTATTAGATTTCTTTTAAATCAAGGTTTAGCTTGTCGTGGGCGTAATGAAAGTGAAGAATCTTGGAATAGGGGTAATTTTCTTGCACTCTTAACATGGTTTTCAGAAAATAATAGTGAGGTATCAAAGGTTGTTCTAGGTAATGCCCCGGGAAATAATCGAATGACTAGTCCTCTAATTCAAAAAGAACTTATTAATTGTTGTGCCAAAGAAACCACTAGACTTCTTATTGATGATATTGGGGATGACTATTTTGGAATACTGGCTGATGAATCTAGTGATGTATCTCAAAAGGAACAAATGGCTCTTTGCTTGCGTTATGTCAATAATAAAGGGAAGATAAATGAGAGGTTTCTTGGAATTGTACATGTTAAGGATACTACTGCTTTGTCACTAAAGAGTGCAATTGAGTCTTTGCTTATGGAATATTCATTGAGTTTGTCTAGAGTTCGTGGACAAGGTTATGACGGTGCTAGTAATATGAGGGGGAAGATAAATGGCCTTAAGACTTTGATCATGAATGAAACAAAACAAGCCTATTATATTCATTGTTTTGCTCACCAACTTCAATTAACCCTTGTTGTTGTTGCGAAGGATAATGATGATTGTATTTGGTTGTTTGATCAACTTGCTATTTTGTTTAATATTATTGGTGTTTCTTGTAAGAGAAAGGAAATGATTAGAGAAATACAATCTCATCATATTCTACAAGCATTAGAACTAGGAGAAATTGAAAGTGGGCAAGGTTTAAACCAAGAACATGGCTTAGGTAGGCCTGGTGATACTAGGTGGGGATCACATTACAAAACTGTTTCAAATGTTACCGCATTGTATGCTACTATTGTTAAAGTTCTTGAGAAGATTGGATAAAAAAAGATTTATAAGGATGATCGCGTGAAGGCTATCACTGTCATGTCTACATTTGAATCATTTGAACTTGTATTTATGATACATTTGATGTCCGAAATATTTGGGATTACTGATAAATTGTGTCAAGCTCTGCAAAAGGGGGACCAAGATATTGGTAATGCCATGACATATGTTAAATTGGCTAAGGAGGGATTACAACAAATGAGGGACCATGGGTGGGAAGACTTTTTACATCTTGTGGTTTGTTTTTGTGTTAAACATGATGTAGAAGTTCCTCTTATGGATGATATGTATGTTCCTCGTGGAAGGTCAAGACGCTTCTTTGCCAAAGTTTTAAATCTTCATCGATTTCGGGTAGAAATGTTTATAAGTGTCATTGATTTACAACTCCAAGAGCTCAATAGTAGATTTGATGAAGAAAATATGGAGTTACTTATTTGTGTGTCATGCTTAAACCCGATCAATTCATTTGCGGGATTTGATATGCAAAAGTTCTTGAGACTTGCTGAGTTGTATCCCAAAGAGTTTCCAACTAATGATATGACGATGACTGCACTTCGTCATGAGCTTCAATTTTATATTAATGAGGTGCGCCAATATGCAAGGTTTGGAGACTTGAAGGGCATTCATGAGCTTTCTATGATGCTTGTTGAAATAAATAACCATACTACTTACAACTTAGTTTACTTGCTTATAAGACTAGCATTGATCCTTCCGGTTGCAACTGCAAGCGTGGAACGAGTGTTTTCATCAATGACATACATAAAAAATAAGTTGCGAAATAGTATGGGTGATCAACTATTGAATGATAATTTAGTCACTTTTCTTGAGAGAGATTTATTTTCAAGAGTTAGTGATGATGATGTATTGGAACGCTTCCAAAGTATGAAGACTCGAAGAATGCTTCTGTAGTCTTTTTTTTTTCTATGTGTAATCTATTTGTAATCCATAGTTTGAACTTATTTATGTACTAAATATTTAATTATTATATTTTTATTCCTTTGTTAATTACGATTTCAAATTTTCGAAGTTTCGAACCCACACTTCGAAAATCCTTGTGACGCCACTGTCTGCATTATGATATTTATTTGTTAAGTACTGAGCATATGCAGCACCTATATTATGTCGGCTGCCTGAAGAATCCCTTGACTGGGTAGCTTGGGACTTGACTCAAACAGGCCCAAGCGGCAACGGCGGATCAAAGGCGAGAGCACTACCTTGATTTTCAGGCTGAGGGGTAACATCACCACCAGCCGCATTGGAATCGTATGCTACAGCAAGCACCTGGCTTGAGGGAACCTCAGGCTCCCCAGTTCTGGCCTAAGCCGGCCCTGAACTCAACCCTAGATCTTGCAGACTTTCTCCTGCTGAAGTAGGCCTCTCAGAAGCCGGCGGTCTTTCGGCAAAGGCAGGGGCAGGGGCAGCCGGGACCCTGCGCCTTTGTGAAGAAGGTTGCGAGGGATCCTCTCCCGGCCTCTTCAGCATTTGCCTTAGGAAACGAGGAACGTTCTTACTCCCCGTCTACAAAAGAAAACAACACAACCGGTTAGCATCAAAACGAGCTACAAATCAAATAGACGGTACAAAGATCAACCGGTGCTTACCCCATCGTCTTTGGCCGCCAGTTGGGCCTTCTTTTTCTCGAGTTGTTCCTTCCTAATCATAGCGGCTGACTTAGCAGGAGTCTTCTCTGGAGGAATCATTTCAAGCCCTTTCTCTACAAAGAAGAAAAATAAAAATTAGAAATCATTCAAACATCATACAGGCGGCATAAGATGCCGGTTAGCAATCAACGTATGTTTGCTCCAGAAAGTGCTAAGACCGCAGGCGGAAAGGAACGCCTCGTCTTTAAACTAATCCGGATGAGGGACCTAGTATTTGAGGACAATGACTTGTGTCCCATCATCCAGAGGCAGGGTGGTCTTTTTGGAAAGACCCGTCTCCATTATTTGATCCCAGGCCCTCTCCGGTATTTTTGGGAGGGCACAATTGTTTCCCAGGAGAGCCGGGTGTTTAATGTAGCGACGCAGCCGGTGGTTCTGTTGCGGAGAAGGGAAAAAGACCGTGTAAAATTTGCTCTTCCATCTGCTCCACTTAGACGGTTTTTCTAGCGTCATCATATACTCTGGATGCGTGGTCAGTGTATACCACGCATTCCAGCCGCCTGGGGCACGGCTGAGGTAATGCATATGTGCAAACGCCTCCCAGCTAGGCGTTATGTCCTGCATTTCGCAAGCGGAGATATACACAAGAATATTCAACCATGAGTTGGGTGTGAGCTGCCAAACGCCAAGGTCATAACCCCTTAGAATGGCCTTTATGGTGTTGTGGAGTGGGAACCGGAGGACGGCTTTGAATGCCGCCTCGTAGCGGCCGAAGTAATCATCAGCATGATCCAAGTCGTCATCCCAGACGACGGATGCCTCCACAAGCGGCACAACAATCTCCCATCCGGCCCCTACCGGGCGCTTCTCCAAAAATGCCGGAAGGGTTACGTTTAAGGTGACCACGTCCCGAGTGCTCATGTGCGCCTCCGTTGGATTATTTATTGAAGGTTAATTGTATGCCTCCTCGTCCTCTTGAGGGGCATCCGGCTCCATTGTTGACTCAGTGGAGTTGGACTGTTGGACGGTCTCTTCACCGTCTGAGCTCTCGGATCTCCTTCAAGATCTCATCTCAGTTCATGTGTAAGATCTCAATCGGAGTTTCGGCTGAATCACCTGACTGGTACTCGGGGTCTACATCCGTCCACCTAGTCCGAGCCATTCTGTCCTGCACATGAACAGAGACGGTCGGATTCGCAGAAGAGTAAGGGTGGTCCAAACACCCCAGACGGCATCCCAAGTCATAGATTCAGCCGTGTCCGGTGACCGGTTGACAACTGCCCTAGACCGTGTCGTGTGTGTGTTGGGTGAGTCCATTATTCTCTAACAACCTATACAACCGGAAAAAACTCAAAAAAGTTGCAAGGGGTAGAGACGGTACCTTGAAGTTGTGAAAAAACTTGGAAGGCGGTTGACTCCTTTAAGCTAGTAGATGGAACTCTGAATTGTTGCTTGGAGATACCCCAGACACTGCTCGGACGTACCCCTTTGAAGAGCAATTGAAACTTGCAGAAGACCCAACCGTTCTTCCAAAATATGGCTTGAAGATACCACAGGCGGTAGAGACCGGATGTGTGTGTTTTGAATGCTAAAGAAAATAAACGGGTGGTCAGTCGTTTTTTAAGAAAATGGCTTGAAGATGCCCCAGACGATAAAAGACCGCCTGTGGGTCTATTGAAAGCAAGAAAAGAAAATTTACTAAAGTCAGGCGATACCTGAGAGAATTGAGCAGAGAGCACTTAGACGGTGACCGGATGAGTGTGAAGAAAGGAAATGGTTAAATGCAAAGGCAGCCGGTATCAGAGCTTTTTCTCTCAAGAAGTTTGTGAAAATTTGCAAAGTGTTGCAAATGAAGGTAGGGGTTCCTATTTATATAAAGAGGCAGAAGGCGAACGGTCACCTCCCCCTCACTCTCAAATACGAAATTCGAATTCAAAAAAACAAAAATTTGAATTAAAAAAAAAATGGAGGGAAGGAGACGAACTCTCACCTTCCCAGAATGTGACACCTGTCATAGCTGCCACGTGGCAAGCCACGTCACACCTAAAAGGGGTAAATGATTGGGGTAAAATTACCCTATGCCACATGGCCCAATGGCATGCTAACACGTGTCATCCCCAGAGAGGCCCAATGGGATCCAATCGGATGCTGACACGTGGCACTATAACCCTAATAGGGGAACTGATCCTCTTTAACTATTAATAGAAGAAAATCCTCATTTATTACACATTCATAAATACCAACACAAAAACCGAGCAATATTAATTGCAGAATTCTCTCTATATCAGAGAGAAAATCCATTTACTTTTCGCACATTTATACATCCGGAGACGTTCTAACTTGATCGTTAGAGGCGGAACTCCACCCAACCAAAGTTTCATGGTTTGGCAGGTACAGACGGTCGGCGCTTATTCCCGGAATTGTAACTCTCCCGAGGGACTCTAAAAACCCCGAAACACTTATTATTGCATTAGTTTACATAATTGGGTAAACGCTTGACTAGTTTTGATTAGGTATGTTAATCGGATTAACGACCTAAGTTAGTAACTAGTGCGCGCTTGTTTGATGCAACTCATGTATTATTGGTCGTATTGTTTGTAAAAATTGCATGGGGCCATTCACTTTAGAAGTGAATGGGTGAATGGAATATTTTAAATTTTCTTATACAAGTTTTTATAAAAAGTGACTAGTATCACCTGACTAGGACAAAATACGGACTACGTTCCGTTATTTGTTTTTGTAAATCTAAATACTATACGGACTGCGTGCCATTTGTACTAAGCTCATTTAGGTTACTCCTAGTCACTAGTTCTAGCATTCTTGATGGTGAAGTCTAAAGATGGTGTATCTTTGAAAATGGAGCCTAAAGATGCTAAGATGCCCATAAAGATTGAAGATTGGATGCTTCAAGAATAATTCAAGGGGTCATGCTAGTTCACTATGCATTTATACATATCGTTTATATTGTTTATATATATCTTGATATTAGATGCATGTGTTAGGATTTCTTGTGTTGAATGATTAGTTAAGTTCACTAAAATCAAACCAACATAGAAACCCTATGTCCCAAAGAAAATTGAGCTAAAATCAAACCAACATAGAAACCCTATGACACTTACTAAAACTTCGAAAGTAGGTAATGGGCTATGCCAAAGCAAGGAATTACAACTTTCATAGGAATGTAAGGTATATTAGGCACACACGTTAGTTTTGGTTAAAGTCAACGATTTCGATAAGAAATCCTTAGATGTTGTGGTAAAAAGACATGATCGTCAAGAAAGCATTAGATGCAACGATTTATCAAACCAAGAATAGCTTAGAGCTATTAGAAATTAGATTTCTTACCTTAAACTAAAAAGTGTTAAGACAAGCCAAACCATGCTTAATCTCTTATTAATTTTTGGGATCTTGGAATCGTTTTATTCTCGCCTAAATGGGACAAACTTTAAGTGTCTAGATAACGCTAAATAAGATTGAAAATTTGCATGTATGCTTTAAATTTCAAACTTATGAATGGTTATTCATAGAAATTCTTTTCATTTGTAGTAAAATGTCTGCTATTAAAAACAATAACATGTGCCCGGAACTCCCTGACAAGTTGGCTTTCAGCTTAAACTTGGTGAACTTTAAGTAGTGGGAGGTGGAGCTCCGAAAGACTCTACGGAATAGTTCCATGGAATACATCTTGGACACTCCCATTCCAAGATTTTACTCTAAGGGCTTATGAGTGATGAGACTCATGCTACTTGGTCCTCAGATTGTGACAAGGTCCTAAACTTGATGAGGAATTCCCTCTCGGAGGATTGGAAAAGGAGGTTTACCTCATACTTTCCAGACATACTCCTTAATAGCCTTAAGGACTTGACAACTTAAGATCCAAATCTCAAGATTTGAATGTTTATAACTTTACTAGGTCATTTACGAACATAAAAATTAAACCTCTGGAGTCAAGAAAAGGTATTGAGTTTGGTCTAAGGTCTACAATACCAAACTTAGACCCGATATGCCCCTCCAACCTCATGTGCTTAGAATGACTAGGCACTTTAAGCACATGAAGATTTTTGGAATCCGGATAGAAGATGAGATGGCGGGTTATATCTTTTTTAGCTCGCTCCACTCGGGCTACGATGCATTTAGGATGCATAAGGTGGCCGGGAAGGAGTCACACTCATTGAGTGAGGTGGTGGAGGTGCTCCGCAAGGCCGACTCCTATGGGGCTAGCAAGATGTCCTTGACAATAAAGAAGAAAGAGTTCAAGAAGGAGAAGATGCGATGCTCCTATTGTAGTGGACAAGGCCACTACAAAAG